ATGATGATGATGATGATGATTCTGATGATGAGATGATGATGATGATGATGATGATGATGATGAATGATGATGATGATGATGATTGAGATGATGATGATGATGATGATGATGATGATGATGATGATGATGATCATGATGATGATGATGCTGATGATGATGAGCTGATGATGCTGATGCGAATGCTGATGATGATGATGATGATGATGATGATGATGATGATGATGATGATGATGATGATGATGAATGATGATGATGATGAGGAGGAGGAGAGGAGAGGAGGAGGAGGAGGAGGAGGAGGAGGAGGAGGAGGAGGAGAGGAGGAGGAGGAGAGGAGGAGGAGGAGGAGGAGGATGAGAGGATGGGGGAGAAGGAGGAGGAGGAGGAGAAGGAGGAGGAGGAAGAGATGGAGGAGGCCCGACGAAAGGAGGAGGAGAGGAGGAGGAGGAGGAGGAGAGGAGGAGGAGGAGGAGGAGGAGGAGGAGGAGGACGAGGAGGCAACGGGAAGACTTGTCCCGCCGGAGGTCTCCTTCCGTCGCTGCCGGCTCCCCGGGCCTCCCCCGGCACACACACAGAGACGGCTCGGGGCGGAGAGCCCGGCCCAGGGGCGGGGTGGGGGGGGGGGCATGGGGTCCAGCTCCTGCTCCTCCGAGCTGCACGAGGTCGCGAGCTCACGAGGCGTTCCAGGGTGTGCTGAAGACCTTGGGACGCATCGTTATCGCGACCTCCTGGAATCCTGGAAATCCGGGAGATCCTGAATTTCAGGAGCCCCGGGATTTCCCAGATGTCCGGATGTCCCACCGTGGGCTGCAGAAACCAGGGCCGCCGGGTGCAGAAACCAGGGCCGCAAGGTGCTCCAGAGTGCATGACACGTCTCCCGAGCTACTCGTATCATGATAGCATTCTTGTCCTAAGTTCCTTCGGGACCTGCTTCCTTCGTGGTGATGGGGGGGCCCATCGGCCTCGACTCCCCTCGGGGATCGCAGATGCGAGGGGTTCTCTCCGTCGCAGGCCAGGCCGCCCAGACGGGGTCTGAGGATCGGACCGCATCGGCAATGTGTCAGCCATGCGGCTCGATGCCAACCCCAGACATCCAGAGTCATGCTCTTTTCGCAATGTTCCCCCCCCCCCCCCCCTCCCCCCCAGAGGGCTGGACCCATTTCCGAGTACCAGTTTTCCATCACGGATCGTTCTTCGACGGTCTTGGGGCCCGGCGAGGGCCCCCAGAGGCCGAAAGCTGCCAAAGACCTCCCGGCGTGATTTGGCTTGCCTGGGCCCGTGTGTGGGGGGGGGGGGGGGGGCAGATAGAAGGCCCGAACCATCAGACAGCACTCAGAGCGCACCTGTCTACAGTCGGTTCGCGTCGTGTCGACCCGTGGCCACCCCGCCGCGGGTGTTCCACGTTGAACGTCGCCGGCTACACAGAATCGGGCGATGTTGAACGATCCTGACGTTTCGGGAACGGCCGATCGTTCAAGGTTGAACGATCCCCGCGATGTCGGGAATCAACGCTGGGGTCGACACGACGCGAACCTGCCGTAAGGAAGCACCTCGCAGGCCCAGAGGTTGACACCAACACCAAGATCGGCGGTGTGCCTCCACCGAGGGAAGACGATCCCGATTTCGGTGATGGTGGTAATCTGCTGGCTTCCAGGGTGACTGAAATACTACCATCAACACCGAAATCTAGGATCATCGTCCCCATGTGGAGGCAACACCCTGTGCTGATGTTGGTGCTGATGTTGGTGCACCAGGCGCCGGGCGGGGACCACGTCTTGCCCCCCTCGCGGCTTCGGCCCGCCAGGAGCTGGCCGGGCCCCTCGCCGCGCTGCCCCTGGGGTCCGCGCAGGAGAGCTGCTGCGGCGCGCGCGCAGGGGGACGAGCGGCGCCGGGGGGGGGCGGCCTTCTGTCAGGAGGGAAAAAACACACAGACACAATTAATCGTCGATCCCCAGAAAATATGGGAAAATATGGGAATTGGGCGGGAAGACAAAAATCAAGAAAAGATGGGAAAATATGGGGGATCATTTTATTTGTGTGTATTTATTTGTGTGTCCCAGGGCCCCTTCATTCTGGGACGGCGGGGAGGGCAGGTCAGAGGAGGAAAAGGTAGAAAAGGTACCCATGCGTACCTCTACCCCCTCGCCCGTATTCTTCTTTTTGGGCCTCTTCGGAGGCCCTCGTCGCCACCGCTGGATTCGCTTCGAAATCTTGGTCAGAACGCACCCCGGCAGAGGTCCGGGGAGTAGCGATATCGGTACCCTTTGGTCTCCCCAGTAGGCTTCCATTAGGTCGGGCGTGTCCTCCTACAGGCGGATCTTGGAAGAGAGTGAAAAGAGTAACACACAGAATCAGACATAGTGAGAAGAGCACGAGAACTCGTTCCCGGACTATTTCTGGACCGTTCTGCAGTGTTCCTCCTGTGGAGGCACATGCCCGCCTTAAGGCTTCCAGGAGGGTGGGGCGGCCTCTCGGAGGCCTCTCGTGGGAGGCCCTCTCGCAGAGAGGCCTTCTCCGGAGCCTCCCTGTGGCCCCTCCGAGAGGCCCCCCCGGTGCCTCCGCAGGCCTTGAGATCGGGCGCCGCGGCAAGATTGCAGCATCTGGGAAAATCTTGCGATCCGCCACAGGAGTATTTTCACAGACACCTGGGCCTCAGAGGAGGGCGGCGGTGTATGAATTTCCACTGAGGGCCAGCGACTTTATACACCGCCACCCTCCATGCAAAATTCGTCGGAGGGTGTCTGTGTATACGTATGTATGCATGTATACACGTATGTATGTCCACACACATATATATATATGCATGTATGTATGCATGCCTGCATGCACGCATGTAACTGCATGCATGCATTTGTAGATATGTACACATCTATGTAGATACGTAAGCACGCACGAACGTATGCATGATGTATGCATGACTCACTATGCATGTATGCATGTGTGCAGGTAGGTCGACATGCATGTACGTTTGAACGTATGAATGTATGAAGGAATGGCTGTATGCATGTATGCATGTATGTCTGTATGTGTGCATGTATGCATGCATGTATGTATGTATGTCTGTATGCATGTATGCATGTATGAATGTATGCATGTATGCATGCATGTATGTATGTATGTATGCAGGTATATATGCATGTATGCATGTAGGTATGTATGCATGTATGTGTATCTATGTATGTATGCATATGTATGTATGCACGTACGCATGTATGCATGTATGTATGTACGAATGTATGTATGCACATGTGTCTATGTATGTATGTATGCCTGCCTGCATGCATGCATGCATGCGTGCGTGCATGTATGTGTGTATGTATGTGTGTATGTATGTATGTATGTAAATATGTATGCACGTATGTATGTATGTATGTATGTATGTATGTCTGTCTGTATGTATGTATGTATGTATGTATGTATGTATGTATACATGTATGTATGTCTGTATGCATGTATGTATGTATGTATGTATGCATGTACGCGTATGTATGTATGTATGTATGTATGTATGTATGCATGCATGCATGCATGCATGCATGCATGCATGCATGCATGTATGTATGTATGTATGTATGTATGTATGTATGCATATAGGTATGTATGTATGTATGTCTGTCTGTATGCATGCATGCATGCATGCATGTGTGCATGCATGCATGTGTGCATGTTTATGTCTATGCACACATGTATGCATGTATGTATGTATGGTCCCGGGCTCTGGGCCCACGCCCCCCCCCCCCAGATGGTATGGTCCCAGGATTCCTCGGGCCCCCCCCCCAGATGGTATGGTCCCAGAGACGACGACGATGACGACGACGACGGCGGCGGCGGCGGCGACGACTACGACGACGGCGACGACGACGACCACAACGACGACGACGACGGCTGCGGCGGCGACGACGACGACGATGACGACGATGACGACGGCGACGACGACGATGACGACGGCGACGACGACGATGACGACGACGACGACGATGACGACGACGACGAGGACGACGAGGACGACGAGGGCGACGAGGACGACGACGACGACGACCTCTGAACCACCACAGCACCACACCACATCCACAGGGGGGGGGAGGGGGGCACCGCAGCGCAGCACCACGCCACGCCCACATCTGAACCACCACAGCACCACAGTCACACCACATCCACAGGGGGGGGGGGGGCACCGCAGCGCAGCACCACGCCACGCCCACAGGGGGGGCGGGGGGCACCATCGCGCGGGGGGGGGGCCTAATGGCATCAGCATTGGGGGGGGGGCTCAAGCCCTGGACCATGTATGTGCGCATGCATGCATGCATGCATGCATGCATGCATGCATGCATGAATTCATGTGTGTATGTATGTAGGTGTGCATGTTTATGTCTATGTGTGTATGTGTGTATGTGTGTATGTGTGCATGTATTGCATTTGCTCGCAACGCTTGTGCATGTGCCTCTCGCCCCTTCGGCTGCAATTTTTTCCTCTAGCCTGTGAAGAGTTCATGGCTGGGTGGGCTCACGCGGCCGGCGGATGGGCCCTCGGCGACCTCTCTGAACGCTGGGTGTGCAGCAGCCGCGGCGCAGTCGCCGAGGTCACCTGTCGCTGCGCGCTCGAGAGCTCGGGCGCCTCCGACGGTCTTGTGGCCGTCCTCCGGGGGAGCGCCGCGGACTGGAGCACCTGCAGGGCACGCCGTGCCATCCCTGCCCGCCGTGCCCGATCCCGCTCGGGCACTGCGCTGGCCTCGACCTCTGCGGCGCCGCCGCGGTGGGCGCGGCCGTGGGCGCGGCCGCCGTGCTGGTCTGCTGGGTGGCCTGGCCTCTGCTGGGGAGGCCGCCCGCCAGGGCCCGCGCGCTGGCCGTGGAGAACGGCGCCGCGGCCGCCAACGCCGCCGCGGCGGTGGCCACGCCGGCAACTTTGGGGCGCGGCCGCCGGCCTCCTGGTGTTCCTCGTGATTGAGAGCCACCGTGGCTCGTGCACTGGACACGCCGCTCAGCCAGTGTTCGGTTCGGTTCGAGGACGACCTGAGCTATCAGTGGCATCGCCGCGTGCTGCTGGTGAATGGGGATGCGCAGAAGTGGATTTGGCTCACGCCGGAAGGGGAGGTGGCCTTCGTGGACCTCTCCACCTACAGGGTCCTGGCGCTGCGCCGGGCTGGGCCTTTCCGTGCCCGGCACGCAGGGGACATCTATGTTTTCGACGACGTGCCGGCGGAGGAGATGCAGGCCTACCTGGAGGAGGCTGGGGCGGTGGCGACGATCTTGGGGTTCGACCTGGCCGGGGTCGTCGGGCTCCCGGGCGACAAGTGGTACGCGTGCGACGCTACGTCGCCGCACTTCGGGGGAAAGGTGCCGTCGCAGGTGCTCGCCAACGAGGAGGTCCTCGTGCGTCGCGGGGTTGTGGGACTCGTTCGCATCGACGACGTCTGGCTCCACGCCGTCAAGGTTGCCGCGGGCCGGTCCTTCGACAGCTACCTTGCGCGGGCTCGCGGCGGCGCTGGGCGCGACCCTCGGATCGTGGGCGGCCAGAGGGACCCAGACAGCCGCCGCTTCATCGAATTCCGCGACTCCGTCAAGCGCATGAAGGAAGCGACGATCCCAGGGTGGTCTCTGCAGGGGAAGAGGGCCGTCCTTTCCCTCCGCGACGGCGGCCAGGGCACGTGGGAGGACCATCGCACGACTTGGCTTCGCCGCAGCGGCGTGGTCGAGCGGGGCAACGTGTGCCGCGAACACCACATGGTCTGCGTGACGCTCAGGATGATGCAGCAGTTCGATCAGCTCGACTTGTACAACATCGCTGGCGCGGAGTACCTTATCAGGCGGCTCAAGCAGCTCGACTCCGCCGCCCGCAAGAACCCTCGCGCCCTGGACTTCGAGGGGGTTCGACCTGATCTTCGACGCGGCCGTGGACGACACAGGCGGCATGGTGCTGCCCGGGTTCGAGAGATGGGTTTGGGACCAGGCCCGGGCGCGGGCTCAGACCATGAAGGCGAATCGGCAGTGGCAGGAGGAGGAGACGGCCGCGGCGCCGAAGGCCCCACCGAAGGGCCGCAGTGGCGGTGCGACTGGCTCTGGCGGATAGCCGGGGGCCAGGGGGCCCCCTTCCTGGGCGGGGCGTCCTGCGGCGCCCTGCCCTGCTCGACTGCCGCCGCGGGCCTTTCCGCCGCGGCAGCCTCCGCGCCCTCCTCCTCATGGCGACGGGATCTCGGACTTCACGCGGGGGCCCGCTGCCGCTTTCGGCCCTGGGGCCTAGCCCGCCGGTCGACTTTGCGGGGCGCCGCGATACCTGCGCCAGCGGGTTCTCCAGAAGCGCTCTCGTGAACGCCGCGTTCGAGAGGCGGTCCGATCCGTCAGCCGCCTCGCCGCCAGCGCCGTGCGCCCTCGTAGCTGCGGGCCTGGTGGCGCTGCCGATTCAGGGTCTTCGGGCTCGGCGGTCTCTTCCTCGTGCTACTGGCAGCTCGGTGGGGGCGTGGCGGAGTGCGGCCCCCGCGCATCAGGCGTTCATCCTTGCGGAGCCCTTCAAGAAAGAGCTCCTCAAGCCCGACTCGCTCTACGGCGGCGCGCCCTGCAAGGTTGTCCCGCGTGGGGGGTCCGCGCTCAAGTTCTGGCAGTCCACCGTCGCGCCTCGAGACGTGGAGGAGGTCTGCCCCAAGTTCGTGGCGGGCGCCTTGCGCGACCCCGACGCCTTCGTCCGCAGGCCCGACCGCGTGGTGGAGCAGGACATCGAGCCCGAGCCGCCTGTCACGCCGTACTGGGACGTTCGTTCGGCTTGCAAGCGACGCCCGCCTCCGCCGGGACTTCCTGCGCGGGCTCGCCTCCCGCGGCCTCGTCGGCTTCCGCTGGCGCGTGAGGTCGCGGGTCGGGTGTTTCTTCGTCGAAAGGGGGGGTGGATCAGGCTGGTCGTCGATGCCCATGACGCCAATCGCACCCGCTGGGCGCCGCCGCGCGCCGCTCTGGGCACCCCCGCCGCCCTCGCGTAGGGCTGGTCTGATTCAGCGCTCGCCGAGGCCGGGGGCGTCGCTGCTGACGGCTCGCCCCCCAGATCTTCGGGGCCTCGCTCGACCTCCAGGACTCGTTCTACCAGTTCTTCTCGGGCCGCCTCGCCGAGGACTTCGGGGTGGACTTCCCGGGGCGCGCGTTGGTCTACGGGGCCGCGCAGATCTGGGCACCCGAAGGCCCGTCGCAGGTCGACCCTGACGAGTTGGTAATCCCAGTCCTTCGCGGGGTCGCGATGGGCTGGTCATGGGCGCTCTGGGCTGTTCGCTCGTCTGTCAGGTGCTGGATCTCGGACGTGGTGCCGGGGGGCGCTCGGCGGCTCCTGCTTGAAAAACGACCGCCCCCCGTCGCGGCGCCGGGGCGCCGCGCTGGCTCGGTCTGCGTCGACAGCGTCTCGTTCCTGGGGCTTTCCAGCGACGACGTCGGCACCGCGCTGCAGGGCGCGATGGGCATGCTCGACTCGCTGGACATCGCGTGCCTTGAGGTCGAGCTCCCGTCGGCGCGCTTCACCGCGGTCGGGGTCGAGTATGATGGCAAGCGGAGGCGGCTGCGGCACTCAGACCACCGCGCCTGGCGCCTCTACCTGACTTGCCAAGAGCTCGAGCGGCCTGCGCTCCCGCGTGCAGCCTGGCAGATCCGCGCGTTCCTCGGGCACTGTTCAGCACGGCCTTCTGCCTTCTGTTGCGGCCGGCCCTCTCGGTGTTCCTCCTGCTGTGCCGCTTCGTGGAGGGCCAGGCCGAGGGCCCCCCGCCGCCTTTTCAGCGGGGGCCCGCCGCGAGGTGCAGCTCTTCCGAGGCCTCATCTTCCAGGCGGTCGTCTTTCTCGACAGGCCGAGGCGCCAGGCGCCGCTGGCGCGGCCGTTTGGGCGCCGCTGCCGTCGCGCTCCACCGAGCGCGCCCGAGGCGCGATCAAGGGCCGCCTCCGGCCCACCACGCGGCTGGTTGGGCTCGAGGTGCCAGGCGACCTCGTCGACCCCAGCTGCGGGGCCGTCATCGTCGAGGGGGCCTGGCGTCGCGGCGGCGGGCTGCGCCGCGCCGCCCGGCAGCTCGACTGCCGCAATTCCCGGCTCCTCAGCCTGGGGGGCAACGTGTCGGAGCTCCTCTCCATCGAGAAGGGGCGGGCCGTGGGCTGCGGGCTTGCCTGCCTCTGCCGGCGCGCGGCCGCCTGCCAGATCGCTTGCGGCGTCTCCTGGCGGCGTCGGCGCCTCGATGCCGATCGCAATCTCAGCGACGCGACGCGAGCTCGAGGAGTGCGCTCCGCGGCGTGTGCCGCCAAGGGCAGCGGCGAGTTGGGGGCCGGCTTGGGCGCCTGGCCGACGTTGCACAGCGCGGCAGCGTCGGGCCCCCGCTCAGCGGCGCCCAGGCGGTTGCGTCCCGAGGTTGCAGGCATCTCGGGGCACAAATCCCCGAGAGTGGCGCGCCCCCGGCACCGCCGGGGCGCCGCGCGGGGGGCGCGGGCCCAGCCCTGGCAGAGCGGCGCGACGAGTCCGAGGGGCCTCCGCGCCGCCGCCGCCGCCGCCAGCGACGCCGGGCGGCCCTGGTAGAGTTGGCGCCGCTGCGCAGGCGGGAGCGTGTCCGCGGGGGTCGGTTTGCGGACCCTCTCCCGCGCAGGCTTGGGCGGCGGCCCGACGGCGGCTGCGTCGCTTCGAGTGGCGCGCCCGGCGGCCTGCGTGGCCTTGCGGGGGCGATCCGAGCAGCCCCAGCAGGATGCGCAGGGGCTCGACGAGGCCGAGGGGGCCGCGAACGGTCGCCGCTGCCTGGCCGAGATCGCCGCGCGCGACCCCGACCGCCGCCGCCGCTGCGGGCTTCAGGGGCTGCTGGCCGGTGCGGCCCACGGCCCGCACCTCCGCCCCGCTGGGGCCCGCGGCCGTCGGCGCCTGACCTGGGCGCGCCCGAGGAAAGTTAACGGCCTGGCGGCCCGCGAGGCCGGGCGCCGGCCCGCTGCGCCCGCCTGGGCGCCCGCCGCCGAGGCCTGGTCGCGCCAGGCCGCGGGCGCGCGTCGGGGCTCCGCCTCGCATGCTGCCTGCCCCGGGGACCTTGCTCCTGCGTGCTCGATCTGGCCGAAAAAGGGCGAGAGAGGATGCCGGTCTGCCGCCGCCTCCGTCCCCGCCAGTCGCCGTGCAGGACTCGGGCGCCCCTGGACCTCGGGTTCGTGCTTGTCGCGCGGCTCTCGAAGTGTTCTCGGGCTGCGCTCGGCGGGCGGGCGCTCCTGCCGCGCTCGGTTTGGCGGTCGCCTGCCCGGGCCTGCTCAGGCCCAGCGTCGAGTCTGTCGTTCGCAGGTGGATCGCGTCACTGTAGGACCCCTTGTGCGCCCGGGCTAGTGGCCTGGCGAGGCCCCAGCGACGCGTCGGCTATGCGTGCTGGATGGCGGTGTGCTCGCGCCACTCTTCGTCCGCTCCGCTTGTGCGTTCAGCATGGTGTCCGCTGGTCCCTCGAGAATCCCCGCAGCTTCTGGCTCTTCTTGTGGGGCCCGCTCAAGGAGTTCTTGGGGCAGCATAGCCAGGTGTCCACGCTGTTCGACTGCTGTCGTTTCGGGGCCCCGTGCCAGAAGCCCACCAAGATCGAGTCCGATGTTCCCGAGCTGGTGGCCCTGGGGAGGCGACGGCTTGGGTCGCGCGCGCACATGCCTCCAGGGCAAGGTCAAGGTTCGTGACCATCAGGGTCGGCTCAAGCCTTTCTGGCGCACGACCCTTGCTGCAGCATGCCCGCCAGGGGCCTGCCGCAGCGCAGCGCGGGCCCTGGCGCGCGCCGCGCCCTCGGCTGGCTGGCGGCTCGATGGCGGTCCACTGCTGCCCGGTCACAGGGAGGCTGAGCTCAGGCGCGCAGCCACGATGGACGACCTCCAGCCGGCCCTTAACTGCCCCAGCTGCCCGCGAAAATGAGCCCCGCTCTGGCCCGCCGACGCCGAGGGCTGGGGCCGCCAGCTCGGGTGGCCGCGGGCGCGGCCGAGGCCGAGGCAGAGGCAGAGGCCGTTCGGCAGCGCAGTCGGCCCACGCGGTGCCTGCTGATACCTTTGCGCGGCTTCCTTTTCCGCTCCCTGGTGCAGCTGGCCACCCTCGACAGCTGCGCCGCCAGCGTGCTCGCGTTCGCCGCGGCCATGGGCGTCGGCGCCGACTGCTGGGTGCGCAGGGATTTGCCGCTGATTGACTCGTTGCTTGAGGAGTATTTCGAGATGCTCTTCCTGGACGGCGGCAGCAAGGTGGCTGCCCGTGCGCACTGGCCGCCTTGGCCCACCGTTTCAGCGTCTCACTCAGGGCCCCTGACGTCTTCCCGAAGGGCAAGGGCGCCCTGTCTGGCTGGGGGAAGCTCGGACCAGACGTCACCTCCGAGCCGCTCTCCTGGGCGGCCGCCGCGCTGATGGCTCAGTACCTGGCCGGGCTCGGGACTGAGGCGGGCTTGCAGGCTGCCCGCGGCCTCGCCGTGCAGTTCGACACCTACCTGCGCCCTGGCGAGCTGCTGGATCTCCTGGTGCCGTGCTGCCTCCTCCCGCAGCCGAGCGCCTGTTCAGGCTGCAGCAAGATGGGCCTGGTCGTCGGGGCCTCCGCGGTGGTCATGGGCGACGCCACGAGCGCGCGCGTCACCAAGACCGGCCTCCAGGACGACACCGTCCTCATCGACGGTCAGTCTCGCGCTGGCGTGGCGGGCGCCTTCGTCGCCCTCGTCCACGCCGCCCAGAAGGCCCGCCAAGGCTGGGTCATGTTCCTGCACGCCCACGCCAGCTACAATCGGGCCCTGAAGCAAGCGGCGGCCGCTGTTGGGGTGCCCAATAAGGTCACCTCTCACCTTCCTCGGCATGGCGGGCCTTCTGAGGATTATCTGCGTGGTGCTCGCACTTTGCCCGACATCCAGGCCCGCGGAAGATGGGCCAGCGCTCGGTCCGTCCAGAGGTGCCAGAAAAGCGGCCGTGCCCTCGCCTCCTTCAGGCGACTCCCGGCCGCGGTGAAGGCAGAGGCCAAGCGAGCGGAGGCCGAGCAATTGTCGTTCCCCCTCTGGGTCCAGTCGTGTTGGCTGCTCGCCAATGCCTCGTGCCTGTCAGTATCTTCCGGCTGGCCACTGGAGTTGTTATGGGAATTTTGACTCCAGCGTTACGGGTTCTTGAATTCAGGTCTGGCCAGACGTCCTGTTTTCACGAGCTCGCCGGCCGAGAGGGCCGGCAGGCTCCACGAGAAGAATGCTCTGTCGACCGCCATCGCAAGTGTTCTCGGGTTGTGGGCCTGAGCTCGGCGCGTGAAAAAGAATTGCAAGTCCCCGGCACTTCTGCTGTCTTTTTCCCGATCGGCCGACGCCTCTCCGAGTCTCAAGGGGGCCCACCTGGACGGGGAGTCCGTTACAACGTGCATGTCGATTTGCATGTCTTTATGTGTGCATGTATGTATGTATGCATGTATGCATGTATGCATGTATGCACGTATGCATGTATGCATGCATGCATGCATGCATGCATGTATGTATGTATGTATATGTGCATGTGTGCATACGTTTGCACGCATGTAGGTATGTAGGTATGCAGGTATGTACGTATGTACGTATGTACGTACGTACGTCTGCCTGTCTGTCTGTCTGTCTGTCTGTCTGTCTGTATGTATGTATGTATGTGTGAATATATGTATGTATATATATATGTATATATCCATAAACCTATGTATATTTGTATGTATGTATGCATGCATGCATGCATGTATGTATATATGTACGCCTGTCTGTCTGTCTGTACGTATGTAGGTAGGTCGGTAGGTATATATGCATGTATGTATATACGTGTGTGTACGTATGTATGTATGTATGCATGCATGCATGCATGCATGCATGCATGTATGTATGTATGTATGCCTGTCTGTCTGTCTGTCTGTCTGTATGTATGCATGTATGCATGTGTGCATGTATGCCTGTATGTCTGTATGTCTGTATGTATGTACGTATGTATGTATGTATGCATGCATGCATGCATATATGTATGTACGTATGTATGTATGTATGTATGTATGTATGTATGTATGCATGCATGCATGCATGCATGCATGCATGCATGCATGCGTGATGTATGTATGCATGTATGTATGTATGTATGTGTGTATGTATGTATGTATGTATGTATGCATGCATGTATGTATGTATGTATGTATGTATGTATGTATGTATGTATGTATGTATGTTGTATGTATGTATGTATGTGTGTGCATGTATGTAGGTTTGAATGTAGACATGCAGGTCGGTCGGTCGGTATGTATGTAGGTATACATGCATGCGTGCATGCATGCATGCATGTGTGAATGTATGCATCCATGTATGCATGCATGTATGCGTACGTGCATGCATGCATGGCATGTGCATATACACATACATTCTATTATATTGCATATATACGGGCCGTACTACAGGACCCGTTTTCCTGCGGCACCCTTCGAGCCCCGAGGCTGGGCGCAAGCGTCCTATAGGTGAAAGTCCCGCCGCGGCCAGATCTCGGGGCAAGCCCGCCACCCCTCGAGCCATCGCCTTGCGCGCGCCGCCGACCAGGAGGAGGAGGAGTTCATCCAGGAGCAGCGGAGGCTGCTCCAGGACCCTCGGGACCGCCAGCTACACACCTGCACCGATCGTGTTCAGGACACGGGTTCGGTGCGTGCGCCCTCCTGCCCTGGCCAGGAGAGCATCTGCACCGATCTGGGTCCGGTCCCCGGAAGTCCCGACTCGCTCCCCAGAGCTTCCGTGTCTTGACGTTTCCCATGCGCGGTCCCGTGTCATGACGTGACTTTACGTTTCCCATGCGCGTCTTGACGTTTCCCATGCGTCTTGACGTTGACGTTTCCCACGCGTCTTGACGTTTCCCATGCGAGGAGACATCCCGTGTCTTGACGTTTCCCATGCGCGGTCCCCGGAAGTCCCGACTCTCTCCCCAGAGCCGGGCCTTCCTCCCGAGCCGTTTCTCGACGGTCCCTGGGCTCGGAGACGGTCCCTGGAGGCCGAACCCGACGAGTCCCCCCCGCATTGTTTTGTCAAGACGTCGGATTGTTTGGGAGCATGGGTCAGGCCAGGGGAGGAGGGAGGAGGAGGAGGAGGAGGAGGAGGAGGAGGAGAGGAGGAGGAGGAAGGAGGAGGAGGAGAGGAGGAGGAGGAGGAGGAGGAGGGAGGAGGAAGGAGGAGGAGGGGAGGAGGGTGGAGGAGGAGGAGGAGGAGGGGGGGAGGAGGGAGGAGGAGGGGAGGAGGAGGAGGAGGATGAGGAGGAGGGGGAGGGGAGGAGGAGGAGGAGGAGGAGGAGGAGGAGGGAGGAGGAGGAGGAGGAGGAGAGGAGGAGGAGGAGAGAGGAGGAGGAGGAGGAGGAGGAGGAGGAGGAGGAGGAGAGGAGGAGGAGGAGAGAGAGGAGGAGGAGGAGGAGGAGGAGGAGGAGGAGGAGGAGGAGGAGATGAGGAGGGAGGAGGGAGGAGGGAGGAGGAGGAGGAGGGAGGAGGCGGAGGAGGAGGGAGGGAGGGAGGAGGAGGGGAGAGGTAGGGGAGGAGGAGGACGAGGAGGAATATTCATAATACTATTACTACGAATAATAATAAGAGTATTAATATGAGGGATACTAATAATTATCATCATACGAAATTATATGAATACGAAAATACTGTTAATAATCAGAATAATAAGAAGACATTCAATAACACTGACACTACTAATACTAATACTAGTACTAATACTAGTACGGCTACTAATACTAATACTATTACTAATACTAATTCTACTACTACTAATACTGATACTAACACTAATACTAATACTACTACTAATACGAATACGAATACTAACACTACTACTAATACTACTATTATTATTAATACTAATACGAATACGAAAAGTAATACTAATACTAATACTCGTACTAATACTAATACTAATACTACTACTAATACTGATACTAATACTAATACTAATACTAATACTAATACTAATACTGATACTAATACTAATACTAATACTAATACTAAGACTAATACTAATACGAATACGAATGCGAATGCGAATGCTACTACTAATGCAAATATTTATTCTAGTACTAATACTAATACTAATACTACTACGAATACTAATGCGAATGCTAATGCTGATACTAACACTAACACTAACACTACTACTAATACTAATACTAATACTAATACTAATACTAATACTAATACTCATACTCATACTCATACTAATACTAATACTAATACTGATGAATACTAATACTAATACTAATACTAATACTAATACTAATAGTAATACTAATACTAATACTAATACTACTAGTACTTAGTACTAGCACTAGTACTAGTACTAGTACTAGTACTAGTACTAGTACTAGTACTACTAATACACATACAAATACAAAGGCGAATGCGAATGCGAATGCGAATGCTAATACTAATACTAATACTAATACTAATACTAATACTAATACTAATACTAATACTAATACTAATATTAATACTAATACTAATACTAATTCGAATACTAATACTAATACTAATACTACTACTAATACTAATACTAATACTAATACTAATACTATTGCTATTACTATTACCATTACTACTACTACTAATATTAATACTACTACTAATACTAATACTAATACTAATACTAATACTAATACTAATACTAAGACGAAATCCAATATTAATACTACTACTACTAATACTAATACTAATACTAATACTAATACTAATACTAATACTAATACTGATACTAATACTAATACTAATACTACTATTAATATTATTACTAATACTAATACTAATACTAATACTACTACTAATACTAATACTAATACGAATACGAATACGAATACTAGTACTAATACTCATACTACTACTAATACTAGTACTAGTACTAATACTAATACTAATACTAATACTAATACTAATACTAATACTAATACTAATACTAATACTAATACTAATACTAATACTAATACTAATACTAATACTAATACTAATACTAATACTAATACTAATACTAATACTAATACTATTACTACTACTAATACTAATACTAATACTGATACTAATACTAATACTAATACTAAGAATACTAACGATACTACTACTACTACTACTACTAAGAAGAAGAAGAAGAATAAGAAGAATAATAATCATAATAATAATACTAATAAGAAGAATAAGAAGAGGAGGAGGAGGAAGAAGAATAAGAAGAAGACGAATAAGAAGAAGAAGAAGAGGAGGAGGAGGAGGAGGAGGAGGAACATGGGAGCATAGCTGGCGCCCTCCTAGGAGCGGCTGCGCGCCGAGGCCTTCGCGCTCCTCGGCTCCACCGCCGCGGCCCTCGGCTCCTCGGCTCCGGCGGCTGCGCCGCCCGTCGCCGAGGCGCCCGGCGGCGGCGGCGGCGAGGGCGGCGCCGTGCTGGAGCTGGTGCGCAGGAGCCAGGAGGGAAACATTCAGAGGAGGAAGGTACCTATACCTCTACCCTTCCCTCGTTTTCCCCTTTCTGGGCCTCCTGGGAGGCCCTCGTCGCCACCGCTGGATTCGCCTCGAAATCCTGGTCAGAATGCACCCCGGGAGAGGCTCGGGGAGTTGCGGTGTCTGTACCCGTTGGTCTCTCCAAACATGGGCAAAGGCACACAGAGATGCTGATCTCCAGGAAGAGACGGGCAACGTGGCGGGGAGGAGGAGGAGGAGCTGCTCCAGGAAGTCTATTCGGAACAGCGTGGGAGGCCTGGAACTCTTGTGCCCAGGAGTTGATGCCTCCCTGGGCCCTCCTCCTCCTCCTCCTCCTCCTCCTCCTCCATCCCTTTCCTTATAAATGAATTCTACCTGTCACACTTTTGTACAAGTTTTTAGGGCTGTCCGGGCGTTTCGCCGGAGACTTTCTCACCATTTATGACCCAGAAGCCTAAACATTGGCGACAGTTTCACAGATGGAGGGCTGGTGGTTTTCAAACGGTGGCTCTTGCGTTAGCGCCGCGCACATTCGTTTAAACATTTGCAAGGGCTTCAAGGATTGAGGGCGGGTGGTTGTCAAACTGTGGCTCTCGCCTTAGCGCCGTGCACATTCGTTCTAGAAAATTGCAAGAGTTTCGCGGACTGAGGACCTTTTTCAAAATGTGGCTCTCGTCTTAGCGCCGCGCACATTCGGTTTAAGAATTCGCAAGAGTTTCACGGATTGAGGGCGGTTCCTTTTCAAAATGTGGCTCTCGCTTTCGCGCCGCGCACATTGCAAACCATCATGTGGTGTTGGGTCCTCGTTTTGAAGAGACAG